GCCTTATAGGACCTCTGCTCCTCTAGAAGGACAAGAAGTTAGGTAGGATGACTTTTGGTGTAAAACTTCCTTGCGTTTTATTTTTTGTTGATTAAAAGTAGCTTCTTGAGAGGTGCTGTCCATGAACTTGAGCTGAGATTTTTAGGTAAGGAGACAACATGGTCAGGAGAAGGAGAAATTTTTAAGCTACATGGACTAGCATGAAAGAAAGGGCCGAGTCTCAGGCAGTCACATATCCGAAATGATGGCAAGYCCAAACCAAGGGCACGAGAGAAATAAAGCTGCCAGTCACTGTATCTAATAACGTTTTGTCTTTTGGCAGGAAATTGATGGCCAGGCGTTGCTGCTGCTCACGTTGCCCACTGTTCAGGAGTGTATGGACTTGAAACTGGGGCCAGCTATTAAACTCTGCCATCACATCGAGCGGGTGAAGCTTGCCTTTTACCAGCAGTTTGCCAACTGAGGAGCAAGTGGCCCTTTGAAGCACAACCACAGCAACCTGCTGCTTCCTCTCTGGCAGGGMAAGGGCAAGGGAAGCTGAACTGCGGCTCTGGCAGCCTCCGAGCACCTTGGCAGCCTCAGTTTTCCACTTCGAGGAAAGGAAGGAATCATCTGGGGGAAAATGCCAATACAAACACACGGGCCGCTCTGCCAATGCGGGAACACAATAGCCTCTTGCTCTAGGGTTCCTTTTTTTTAAAATGTATTTTTTAATGATTACAGAGACGTCTCCTCTGGTGGGAAGTGACATTTCAGTAGTTCTGTTGGCACAGAACTTTAAAAAGGAGCGGCGGATCCYGTTTACATAAGCAGGCTGCCAGAAACCCCCTTGCTCCGTTCCCGATGGCCCACAGGATGCCCTCGCCCTCCCTACGGATGAGCACTGGCTTGGGAGGGTGCTCCCTGCACTTGCGTGTGTTAATGTTGAGGTTTTTTAACAAATTTGTTCATTCTTTGGACAACAGTGTGGCCACAGGGTTCTGAAGGTACAGCATAGCAAGAATGTGGTTTCTTTTAACTTGATTTTTTTAATTATATGTGTTTTTTTACTACCTCTGTAGCCTGAACAGTGGAAGTGCTGATCTAAAAAGGGAGGCAACTACTWCTTGTGGACGAAGCATAGGGAGCTGCAGAGCAGTGTCTCTCCTGGAGCCAGTATCAGCCTGTGCAGCTGCTGTTCCAAAGCGTTKGTCAAAACCTGTGTCCCCGTAGCTTGGATGCTCCCATGTTCTCCTAGGTCTGAAAACGTAATTATTTTGCACTTCTCTTACAGAGGGGCTGTAGGGAGAGAAAAAAGAAAAAAAAGGGAAGAGAAAGTGCCTCTGCATTTTCTGTRTTTTGCTGGTCAGATAAAATTTCTCTGCTTTTTTTTTTCTTATAAATGGTGTGAAGTTGTTCCCTTTTCCTCACAGCAGTTAACTGGGCTGTGTTGGTAGAGCCTGTCGGCAGCTCTTTGCTTTGCTACCTGAACACCTGGTTGGAGAACACACCAAGAAAACTGCAATCAATAGAGGACTGCTCTGCCATATTTTCATGCTGGAGACTATACTATGAGCATGATATTTTTAAGCTCTTTAGTGCAGCTGAGGATCGAAATGAAAAGTGGCTTTTTGGGGCTTGTTTTTTTGTGCCTTTCCTGGAGGAGCAGGAAGGGAAGGAAAAGGACCAGAGGAATATCTAGCTCCRTCAGCAGACCCACAGTGGTGATGAATTGCTAAGTTTAATTTTCCAGAGAACTAAAACTCAGGCAGCCACTAACTTTGGACCTGTGCTTTATACCCCTSTAAGTAACAGGATTTAGCTACTTTTCATTACAATTGTGGGAAACTTGCTGTGGGTGCTGCCAATGAAGCTGTCTGTAGTGAGCAAAGATATTTTGGGCTTCCTCATGCTGCAAGGCTCTTGGGATAACTGTCTGGTCAGGCCAGAGTGCTAACTTAAACATAAAAAAATAAAAATGCCAGGCAGACTGCTCACTAACTCAGTGTTCTTGGATGAGAGGAGGGTTAAGGAGTGTGTAAGCAGACCAATTTCCCTCCCAGGTTATAAGCAAAGTATTGAAATCAAAGTACCTCTTCCTTCTCTACCCAGCCCTCCTCCAGATAGGTACCCAATAAATGGATATTTTGACTATTTATGTTGGACATAGGTCATCTTGTACTCTCTTCTCCTAATGCCACCTGATGAGCCATTAGGCCTGAAAAACACACTGTTGTTTTGCTTGCCAGCCTTTTGTCTTGAGAAATTTGGCGAGAAGAACCTCAGAGCTGGAAGAGGATGCTTTTTGATTACTGATTTTTTTGAAGGTTTTGCAGAATTCTCTTGCATTGTAGAAGAAGCTGATTGCAAGCTGGACTGAGCTGCATGGCCCARATGGGTCATTTCCCCCTTTCCCCATGGACACGCAGATGCCTCCAAAGCAGGTGTCGGGAGAGCTGAAAGGGTGATATAGGGAACATGTTAAGATGGCACCTGGAGTTTTAAAAATAAATGCCCTATTCCTTGTAAATGAAGCAGTTGGCACTTTCAGAGGTTACTTGGGTACTTCTGGTCATCTTTGGCATGTTTTATAGGCTGGCTTTTTTCTGCCTTGTTTTGGGAGGCACTGACAGTCTGGTCCCAATGGGATCTGTTTTAGTTGAGATTTTCAAAAGGGATGTTTTCATTATTTGTGAAATGTTTTTATGCTGCACATTGATACTGTATACTCTGTTTCTTTGAAAAAAATGCACTCTTTTATTGCTGGTTTTAAAGGGGTAACTGAGGCTTTACGTTGACGGATGGTGTTTCTGTATCAAGTTCTTGGTTTGTGTGTGTGGCAGGTGACACAACTGGGCTTATATCTGTTCGTCATGACTTGAAATGGGCTCATAYGCTGCTTTGGTTGCTCTCTTTCCTCAGAACTGAATTTTGGGTAGCTTGGTGGCTGAAACTTGGCTTTAGACCGTCACTCATTCACCAGCAGGAGCTCCTGTGACTTCAACATTTAAACTGGGCTTCAGGGATTTGTGCTGTCCTCCGTAGCCACGTAAAGCAGGAGGAAGGCAGTGGTGTCTTCCAAACATTTTTGGTACCAGAAGAAGAGCTCTTCATTTGGTCTCATGTACTATTTATATGGAGGGTAGAAGGAAAAAAAATGTTTGGCTGAGGTTTGAGGATTTTTCTTGCTCATCTTACATTTATATGCACTGCTRGGTCTTGGTTTTGCACCTCACAGCTTTAGGTGTCTTCCGTGTGGCACTCATACTCTGCTAAGCTTAGATATGCTGGGCAGGAGAAAATGGCCAAGTTACTGTACTGTGCTCTGTGCATCAACCCAAGGAGTCCTTAAGAGCAGTATCAGAGCTCCAGAAATGAGATGCAAGGTTATCCTTCTTGAATTATCCCTAACACGTAAGCAGTTTGTAGTCTATTCGGTGGGTAAGAGTGAGCCTTCCAGAAAATGGAACCTGGGGAATGAAGACTAGTTTATTTCTAACAGTAAAATTTCTGAAAGATGCTCTTTAAGAAAATGAGGCAAATTCATTTATTGAATTTTATAAGACACCAGTGGCCTTTGCTGTCCCTCATGGGGCTAACAGAAACAGCACGTACAGAGAGCGACTGTTAAGATTACAGCCACTTTCAGGATGGCTGTTAAAATTCCTGTCTCTTGTCACAACTTTTAGCAGTATTTTGCTTTACACTTATTCAGGCTTGATTCCACTGATGTTTTAAAGGAAGGGGAGGGAGCAGCGAGCTGCTAGGGYCAGGGAATTGTAAATACATTTACAGCTACTTGCACTGCACTCTCTGTTGGGAGCAAAGTACAAAGATTTGGTACCATATTAGCAAAGTGAGATTTTCCTGAATGTAGTAGAAAAGGCTTCAAAAGCGGTAAGATCAAATGGTGACTGAGCCACTTAGTTTGCTGTAGACAACGTAAGCAAAGCCATTACTAAAGGAGAGGTTGCTGGATGAGGTAGCCTTCCCAGAAAGCCAAAAATACAATCCTAAAGGAAGCTGCTGCTTCCCAAACAGGCTTCCCAACATTTGTTTGCTTCCCAACCAAATGTATGAAACCTAACTAGCAAAACCAAGTAAAGGTTGTTGAGGTTTGTCCCCATAGCCATGTCCAGCTTCTTTTAGATCCCATTCTGCTTGCGTGGTGAGGGCACGAATGACCAAGGCCAGGAGAAAATTAATCCTTGGCCATTCTGAAGCTGTGGAGCTCCAGCTCCCAAGAAACCTCATAGGAAAAAAAAAATAAGGAATCTCCCCCCATCTTACTCTGCTTTCAGTTTGGTTTCTATTTAAAATAATTGTGATTTTTTTTAATATATATATATATAGACAATCAGAGGTCTTCTCGGAGAGTGCCAGCTCTCCCTGCGGGGGCCTCTCTTATGCGACTCATCGGAACTGATGCACTTTTCCTGTATTTCGCCTTTTTTTAATTAGCTGCTCATCCCTAAACAAAGATTTTAATGCCTATTGTGTTGTGTCCCTTCTGTCTGTTGCTTTATTTTATTATTTCTTTTTAAAATATATATATTATATGCGGTGAGACTGAAGTACAAAAGGGAAGAGAAACGCGCACAGGGCCCCAAGCGACCTCCCCCTGCCCCCGCCGCCATTTGCCAAGGGCCGTAACTGTTTCCCCAGAGGGGTTTTTAAAGAAAAAAAAAATGCAAAAAAAAAACTATTTTGGATGGATATTTTGCCTGTCTCGTCTGTACATAGTGTATCATAGAAGTTTGTGGCACATGACGGTTTTAAGTGGTTGTAAGAAAATTAAAAAGGGGGAAAAAAAACTCAAGTGGTGCTAGTCGTTTTTGTGAGGGGGCGTGAGGCGAGGCCACGCCCTCCTCGAGGCCCCGCCCCCAGCCGGGCAGGGGCGGGGCGCGGGGCGGCAGAGGAAGCGGCGCGGGGGGCGGGGCCTCGCGCGCGACGTCGCCGCCGCCGCCGCCATGCGCCGCTGAGGCGGCCGCCCGCCCGCCGCCCGCGCCATGGGGGCGCCCATGGGGGCTCCCAACGGCAGCCTCGGCCTCACCGGCTCGCCGCCGCGGCCCGGCGAGCGCGGCTGCGAGAACGGCGCCTTCATGGGCTCCTTCGGCATCTTCCTGCAGGGGCTCCTGGGCGTCGTGGCCTTCAGCACCCTCATGCGTGAGTGACCGTTAACCGTCCCCCGCTTCCGTTGCTCACCTCTCCCGCCGCTCCCCTCAGCACGGCCCGGCCTCCCGGACAGGCCGCAGGCCCCGGGGCGCCCCCCGCGAGGGCCGGAGGGAAAAAATACCCCCGCTTTCCCTCATGCAGAGACCCAAATCCCGCCGGTCGAACCGGTGTCACCTCGTGCCGCTTTAGCTCAGGTAAAAGTTTCCCGGCACGCTGGTTTTTGCGCGCTTCTTAGTTTCGGTTACGATTATTAATGCTCTTGTGATCGCTCTGTGCGTAGCAGTCGTCCTTGCTCTTGCGAGTGGCGATATTGTCACTACTTTAACGTTTTGTCAACCAAAGCATCCTCATAATTGGCGTTCTTAGCACTTTCCAAACCAAAACAACAAAAAAACTTCCTAAGAAGACATCGTGYTTATTTTTATACTTATTTTTATTACTGTTAAGAAGAGGTCTTGATTATTCTCGTATCCTGTGTATCAAAATGCAATGAGCTATTGATATTCTATGTCATGATAGTATCTCCCCTTAGAAACGATATTGCTCGACTCTTTTTCTGTATTTTGCAGAAATGTTGGAGTATTCTGTGAATATAGAAAAAAAAACTGTGAAAAGCGTAGGCTAGGAAAAAAAAAAAAGAAAGCCTGGATCGTTAGCTGCACTTTCTAGCTTTGCTCTAGTTAGATGTGTTGTAAACTATTAGGAGGAGACTGTCAGTGAAGTGCTTGTAATTGTGAGGCAGAAAAGSCAAAGAAACACAACCAGTCGTATTAATGGTACTGGTGAGAAAGAGACATCTCTCCAAAGGAGATTGGAGCAAAAAGTGTTGCTTAGACTTAAATAAATAAAGGACAGAACAATAGCTTTGTCACAGTGTGGGCAGCTCTGTTGTTTTTCACTTTGTTTTGGGAGTCTTCTCCAGCAGAAGGAGAAGCTGACCAGCCGAGCACAGCATGTAGGCAGATGATATTGCTGGAAAAGCTGTTGTCCCCCTCCGTTCGGTGTCGGAAAAGTTGATTCCGTTCTCATTCTGTTCGCATGCTTCTACCCCTTCTACATCATAGCCGAAAAATATCTGGCACGTTGTTCCAAAATCTTCTAAAGTTACCTCAGCAAATAGAGCAATTTTTCTGTGACCCCCATGGCAGCTGTGGTGGGGGGCAGAAGCAGGAGCTTGGGCCTCCCTTTTAAATAATGTTTATTCTCCATGTGCAGCTCTGTCATTTTCCTAATTCTCCRTAAGAAGTTAACAGGGAGCTGAAGATAACATGAGTGGCTGTTAACTTCAATTTAACTTGTAAAGAGCTAACTCACTGCATTATTTTGAAAGAGGAGCCTAGATGGGAAACTGTTTACACTTTGAGTTGCTATTAATGGTTCTGACCCCTCTGTGGGAGAAGGCTATGAAAGAGCAAGAGAGAGACACTGTAGAATTGCTCTGAATGCGCAGAGACTGTTTTCCTTTGAAAAATATTTGGTTTGACATGTAAGGAGCGAGAATTTCTGTAAATCAAAGGGTGATCAAAAGCAGCTTGCCCTTTTCTAGGCTTCCACTCAGTTGAAAAAAGAATTGTTTCTGTCTGTCATAGTAACTAAGTGTAGAAGAGGACTTTTATGCTTTATTAGCAGGTATTCATCTACAAATGACTAGAAGGATATTCTTAAAGTAAAGCTGACATGGATCTGACATTCCAGTTTACAGCCCTTTCTGTGTGTGTATTCACCTACACAATTGCTGTAAATGTGTGTTAGGAACTGAATCATCAATGGTATCAGTGAGACCTTCTCTTTGTAAGGGTGAAGATGTGTGGTCCTGTGTTGGATTTTCATTTTATGATGCGCTGTCCTGCTGACAGAGGGCTCCTGTCTCCCAGCCAAAGAAAGGTTGTTAACTTTGCCCATATTATGAGCCCATCTGATGTGTCCACCCACTATGGAAACAGTCACAGCTAAGAAAGATGTGATGAGGATACAGAATCTCTGGCTCTGAACAGGAGAAATCATTTGGAATTAGGTCTAAATCTCCTTTTATTTTTAGTTCATGCCTCCTTGTTCTATCTCACAGGATATGAAGGACAGTTTTAATTTTGCATCGCTAACTTTTTTGCAACTAGACTTTACACCTCTAGCCTTTAGATTTTGGTCTTCAGTCCAAAATCTTTTAGTCATAGCGGATAACTTAGCTAGTCAACAATTATCCTGAATTCATACGTAATATTCCCCACCCTCCTAAAGGTAGAAATTGGCATTTGTTTTTACTGAATTAAGTCCTATAAAACCAAAGGGGGGAAAAAAAAMMCAAACCCACTGCTTGCATTTCATTAAGAGCACTGTGATCTCCAGTTCTCCCTGTAAGACATTGTCCACAAATTAGAAAAAAGAAGCTGCTCGTCAGTTGTCTAGGTCATTAGAGAATATATTTAATAGTATCAGAGCYTGCCAGGATGTTGTCTTTAATCACGGTGAATTGTTCTTAACTACTCTCTGAATTAAGTTTTCAGTTATGAAACCAGAGGCTTGTTGGAACAGCTTCATCCAGACGCTCTAGATGCTCTAATGCATCAAAACTGACACGTACTGCACTGGGGTTAGACGAGTTCTGTTGCTTCTCTCCTAATCATAAGTTGTAACATGCTGCAGGAGAGAATTAATTGATTAAAAATTATCTTTTCTTGGCAAATCTAGTTGGGCTAGTAGCCTTTTGGGATTCTGCCCACCAATTTTCAAGTTTATTAACTTGTTTTTTACATTCTAAGCTTAATTTTGCTCTTGTTCCTCTTTCCTGAGTCTGCATTGTTTCATGTCTGGTTTATTTAAACTTAGCCACTTTGTCACAGGAAGTCTTAATGTGAGCGTGAGAAACCCGTGTTCACGTTTCAGTTCAGTTCACTGAAAATAGTATCTTTTCAGAGTTTGCTATTATATTGTTTTTATCTTAATTTGGGTATCGACTCTTAAAAGATGGATTTGCTTCTTAGCTTTGGGTTCTGTTTTTATTTTTTATTTTTTTAAGTTACTGATGCTACACAGACTTTTTTCTTTTTTTTCTTGTATGTGTTTTGTATAATGTACGTAAAGCACCTTCCAAACATTCTCTGGTTAAAATTTAACAGGTAATGGTAGAGACTGGTATTGACGYGATATTCCTGTAAACGTTAAGACATGGGTGTGATTCTAAATGTTTAGGTTTTATTAGTCAAAACTGCACCAAGGTGTGAGGAGGACCCAAAAAAAAAAAAAATCCCTTTATCCTGTTTATCATAAGCTATTTCCCTGTGTTGTGTTGTGAGCTAGTGGTAAATACATGTAGTTTATTTATTGTGTTTGTCAGAAGATTGGTGACTAATCGGAGCGTGCCTGGGCTCATTTCTGGATTCTTAAGAGTGGCTGAGAAATTAGCTGTGGTGGCGTTRATGAAGTATTGAAACAGAGTAGTCCCTGGGTCTTTGGCAGGTAAAAGGTTTGTGTTTCTGCCTGTGTGAAAATGTGATGTTTCCAGCACTCCAAGTCTGAAATAGCTGTGAGGACCAGTTTGAGATGAGCGTGGAAAAGAGGAAATATCTCTTTGCAGAAACATTTTGTTGCTGTTTTGGCGAAGAGGAGATGTGTACGTGGCTTACAGCTGAGAATCACACCGGTCACCTACTACTGAAAGAAATTGTTTTGATATTTTAGAAAATATGTTCCGAGGGATAAGCCAGAACAGTCTGATACATCGCTGACCTGTGTAAAAGGCAAGATTTGGCAAGGGGAAGAAAAAGAACTAATTTTCCAAAAGGAGGAATGGAAAAAGGAGCAGGGGACACCAGAAACAGAGCAGTCACTTTTTCATGTCCCAGATGAGCAGATGCCCAGTCAGTCCTCAGCTTCTGCAGATGAAGCCCCTGGCCGAGGAGGAGCGGCTGGGCCCCCGGAGCACCTTGGACAGCTCCCCCGGCGCRGCCAGGGCCTACCCGGCCGCTGAACCCTCCTCCTGCTCGGCAGAGCTGGGGAATGAAACCGGCACCGGGGCATCCACACCAGCCTCCTACTACCCGGGGGCTGCGATAAAGGCTGGGCTYGGTTTAAATACGCTCTGAGTAAATAATATTCTGACTTAACAGATGAGTCTTCCTTGCTGGCTCAAAGACTCCTTGCAGTCCCATCRCCTGGAGGAAATGGGATGGCATGACGTGGTAGAAGGAAGGGCTTTAACTTCTTACTCGTTTGCTCCCAGTGCAGTAATCAGCGGTGGTGAGCACCTCCATAGGACACGGCACAGGAGAGCTCTCCTGCTTTTGTCTGCAAGGCTCAGGAAGGCCCAGACATGGTCTCGATGGTCAAACCCAGGTAAACTGTGCCTAAAATGCCCAAGGGTTTTGTTCTCTGCCCACTGTGAGGCCTTGCTTTCCTCGATGTGGTCTGCTCTTTGCTGGTGCATTTTAAATCAAGCTTCAGTCCCCTTGGTGTCTCAGTGACATCCTTTTTCATATATGATTCCAAAATTAGGTATGTGGTGGGGAGCTGTAGCAAAAAAAAAAAAAAAAAAAATTGGAGTCGCATGGGTGAGTTGACCAAATTAGTTAAGTAAATTACATCCTTCCATGCAAATGTCCCAGCGTTCTGTAATAAATCAAATATGTTGCTCGGCTAAATGCTGTAAGTTCTCATTTTTTGTAGAAGACGACAAGTCTTTYTGACAAACTTGTTTGCTTTGTACAAAGCCAAGCAAGAATTGTGTTGTGAAAATGCTCCACTGCTCAACTGAACTTTTTTTTTTTTAAGAGAAGCAAATAACCTTGAAAGAATTAAAGGCTAACAATTTGGAAATTGTTTTTTGTTTTGGAAACAGAAGGCCAGTCTTGTTTCATAGTATGATTAGATGTGCACCCCTGCCGTTACTGTAGGGGAGACATCTTCATATCCTGTTTAAACTACATTACCTTGGTGGATTTTTTCTTTCTTAAAATTATTTGCAGAATGCCTCAATCTTTGTTAGATAAAGATTGTAA